TTTTTGTTACTGGAGTGAATGCTTCAGCTCAGCGGTGCGCATGAGCTGGAAAGTGCGGGAAGCTTCCAGAACGTTTGTGGACTTGCACATTGGAAGAAGCAGAGCTTCTTTAAAGGTGAGTTATTCATCTTCAGTATATTCTCATGTGTCATGTATGCCATTACTACTCGCTTATATGGTTACAGGTTGATTTTTCTTTCAAAAGATAACACATAAAAGTCTTTGCAGGCTAATATGCTAATGTTAGCATGGGCTCATGGGTCCAACATTAGCTAAAACTGCCACGCCTTTTACTTGAGAGCCTTTAATGTTTTTGTCCATTGTTGTGGAAAAAAAACTCTTACCAAGCACTGTTCAGGTAAAATAACTCAATCAGGTTTATTTATGAATTGTGCACAATACAGAGAGTTCGTAGCAATCATGAAGCAATTCTGGATGGAAAGCTCTGCCAGGCAGAGACAACACGAGTCTTTTACACACATTAAAGTTCATTTTAAATTGACTTCTCTTATGTCTAGAAGAATTAATTTCTAAACTCTTAAACATCCTTAGGAGTCAAACAACTATGAATGATCATAATTAAGCTACCCAATTTCATGTTTTTTCTAGGAAACCCCACAAAAAAAATTGCATTAGTGCAGTGAAAGTATAGATAAGTGTCCATTCAAAACCCAACAAGAAAGCGTAGATTTTCCATCTGGAAAGTAGGTAAAGAGTAGAAGCAGGAACACGGATCGTCTGTCTGCTCAGGAGGATTTGTTCCCTCCTGTCAGAAAAGTCTAAATCTTCACTCTCCGCTTCGGTCACTCGCCAGTGGACCAGCAATAGTTCTTTGAGTGGAGAGCCTTTCAGAAACATCTAAACTCGCTGTTGCTCTGGACATTGTCCTCTTTGGTGTCAAAAGTTGAAGTTCTTGATACTTGGTAGAGTCAAGTTTTGCTGCTCACTCTGTTGCTGATCCAGATTTAAAGTTGTGGTCTAGATGGACATTACAAACATGTCGTCCTTCACAGTGGTTGATGTGGATTCAGGTTGTTCCTTCCTTTTCGCCCCTCTCCTCCACTCGGTCTCGGCGTTGCTGCAGTGAAATCCTCCCCCGTCTCTCTCCTCTGGGTTCCTGTCAGTCCAACTGGTTTTGGCGTTGGATCTTTGGGTTGTCCAGATCGTCCCTCAGGAAATGTCCATGTTGTCCACAGATGAAACAAGAGTCAACAGTCCAGAGTCTTTTTCTCTCACAGCTCCTGTGAGAGAAGAGCTTTTCTTCCTCTTCGCTGATACTGGACAGCAGACCAGCCGAGGTTGTTAAAGCTCAGTCTCACACAGTTTTCAGTCCAAATGCCCAACAGGAGACTGGCAGTTGTCCCCTGGAGGTGATGGAGGTCTTTTTTTGTCTTCTTGATCCTCCAGATCTTCTCGATCATTTTCATTGGCTGGTTTTGTAGGAGGGACATCATCTGGTCCAGGGGAGGACAGGTTTGAGGAGTTGAGGTCAGAGGTCAGATGCACCGCGCGAGGCTCAGACAGAGGAAAAGAGAAAAAGCTAATAGAAATCGATTAGGGTTTGTTTTGTCATTTTACATTTATATTTATGAATCTTATTTTAACCTTTTATGTGCTCATATAGTTTTAGTCATTTATTATTCATCCAGTATTATGGCTCCTGTTTGTGGAACAGTTTGTCAGAGAAACCTAATTGTTGGTACAGCTCTTAGAGCTGCTTTTAGTATGAAAGGGTCCCTTATAAATAAAATGTATTAATTGACTGATCCTTTTAAGAAATGATTTTTTTATTTCTTTATTCAAACACACAAAAGAAAAATGAAACATATTAAGGCCTGTAATTTATCAACAAAATATTTATGTTCAGCATTTTATTGCAAACAATTCACCCCGAGGAGGAAATTGTGTAGACCTATTCTTCTTGAACTGGGTGGGATTTCCTCTTTAGACTGCAAACGTCTTCACAGAATCCAACAAATCAGCTTTGTGGTCGCTCTGCCTCTTAATCCTCTAAGAGGGGCTTTTATTTCCAATAAAGGTCTTTAGGATTCTCTAAAGGTTTGGTTTCCTCAATTTAGAAAACCAAAACTCAAGGAACCACCTGCCTTATTGACCTTCCTTACGGCTCGTGTACAGTCTCAGGGTGCTGGATATGAGGTGGAACCCTCCATGCATGGTTAGTAGCTTCCGAGTCTTAACATCCGTGGCCTTTATCTCTTCCATTGGCCAGCTAATTATTCCGGCAGGGTATCTGATTATTTATCTTATCTGTAAGGCATAGCTGTTTATTGCACGGATCTTGTTCTTGCCATTGAGCTGGCTTCTCAGGACTTGCCTTATTCGTTGGAGGTATTTGGCTGTGGCTCCTGTCCTTGTGACCTCATTGAGGTTGCCATTTGCTTGCTGTATTCCCAGGTACTTGTAGCTGGTATTGTTCCTTCTGGGAGTGATACCCCTTCTGTGTGGACGACCTTCCCTCTCTTTGTAACCATCCGACCACACATCACACATCCGATTGGGACATTGTGGTGGTGGTGTGTGTGTGTGTGTGTGTGTGTATATATATATACTGCTCAAAAAAATAAAGGGAACATTTCACTTTATTTTTGTGTGTGGCTCCAAATCCATGCCTCCATTGGTTAATAAATTTGATTTCCATTGATGATTTTTGTGTGATTTTGCACATTCAACTTTGTACAGAACAAAGTATTCAATGAGAATATTTCATTAATTCAGGTCTAGGATGTGTTATTTGAGTGTTCCCTTTATTTTTTTGAGGAGTCACCTTGCAGTAAACTACATTATTTTTTTATTATGTGCACAATTCCCAAATACAATATCGCCCCAACACTGAAACTGTGAGTTTCTGTAACAGTATATGTTGAGTAACTGAGGGAAATAACATGAACATACAATATTTAGGGCTCTCTAACAAGCACCATGATGTACAGAAGTGCTCACATCCCATAACTATTTCTAGCATTTGCAATGCTGCAGCCACAAATTCCAAGATATTTTACAACAAAGATGATTACTACAGATCAACACAAAGTGCTGCATAACTGTAAAGTGTAAGGAAAATAATTTGCAAACTTTCTACCTTTCTAATAACATTTTAAAACTTAGAAATCTGACTTGTTATCTGGGCCCCATCAGAGAACTTGGGATCAGGAAATTTAACAAGGCAAGTGATATCAGATCTGAACCTGTCCGAACAATATCAGATGATACATACGGTGCTCACAGAAAGGGACATTTTAAAGCTGCTTTTAAAGTGGGTGTTTCTGCTTTGTAACAGAATTCCTTTAACTCAAAAGAGTTAAAGGCAGTTCTTAGGAGTTTAAGATAAATGGTGTTTTTTTTTCTCATTTCTGCCTTTGCAATGATTCTGCTTAAACATCTCTTTCTGTAAATATTTCTGTCTTTGTTCTGTAGCCTATGCTTGGTATCACAAAACATTAGGCAATATCAAGAACAGTTTGTTGTAACTACAAAATTTCTGAAGAAATTTAACCAGGGCCTGCCAAAGTGTGGCCGTCGGTTGGAACCCAGCATTCTGATGCTAAAAATTAGCCTCAATGCTAAAGTAAGCTACAATGTACTCAATAGCATGTGGAGAGTCACAAGCATCTAGAGTAAGATGGATTTACTCCATCCAGTATGTTAAAATTAGTGTACAAGCTGAAATTAGCCAAAATGGTAATGTTGGCCTAAATGCAGCCAGTGGCATGTGAGCTATAACTAGCATGTTGTCTTACA